ACACGACATATCTCATCAACCAAGTGTAGAAACAGAGTAATTTACACCAAAGATAATAACATTCAATTAGTAACTTGAAACTAGAAATGCCTTTATTCATGCAAGTCAATTTAACAATTACTCTCTCGTTTACACTTGGCTTATTCACACTAAACTGACCATTGATATTCGTCCTTTCAAACGAACTGATACTACCATAGTCATTGCACAAGATACTTGAGTTGATGGGTGTCTGTTTCATTGTGGATGACAGCACCAACGATGACTGAGTGACACAAGGTGATGAACTTAGTGGTGGATCAGAAGCTGTTCTTGTTCGGCTCTCAGATAGTTGTCCAACTGCAAGATTACCACCACTGCTGTCTTTCACTACTAGTTCGGGTTTAGCACTATCATCTGATGATAGGTGGGCTACACGCTGATCAATTACACTGACTGCCTCACAAGTATGCACACCTTTTGGAACTGCATCTGCGTTCAATTCTACTTCACGTTGTAGTTCTACAGAACTTTTATTTAACTTAGCAGTAGTAGGCATATCCCTCATCTCATAATGATCAACCAAAGACAACTGTGAATTATCATGATCATTATCACGAATATTCAATTTACCATCAACTTCATCATTTTCAAATTCTTTAATAACAGAAGTAGACAATTTTGGTTCCTCCTCACAAATCATAAAGGTTTTATAACTTCACTCTGACTAGTAATACCTTGTAAACTTGTGGAGTCAGAACTCCACTCTGAAGCAGTAACTCTATTCTGTGACACTCTATTCAACAATGGCTTACCAGTTGCAACTACAGACTTCTTCACAACACCGTTATCGTTACACAATTCGGAGTAAGGCCTGGAGTTTACATTTAGCTTATCACTGAACTTGCTCACCGGTTCACAGTTCACCTCTGTATGCACCTCTTGCAAACGTGTAAAACACAACCGTGTTTGTCTTGTATCTTGTAACTTATCTGTTGAGGATGTACTATGAAACCTGTTACACTCACTAGGTCTATATGCATTACTAAACATCATGGAACCTTCTCGATATCCACCTCTCTGAGGCCTATTCGTCATCAGTGATTGCATTTTGATCTCAGACTGCTCTATTCTATGGGTGAGATCTAATAGACTGGAAAACTTGCTCATAGATTGATTGACGCTATCTTTTACCAGTTTCAGGATATCATCAAACTTCGGCTCGATACCCTCATCCTCCATACGGGAGCTTATCTCCACCCACTTCCTTCGCAGCCGAGTAGGTATACGTCTTGCTATTACTTCTAAAATAGAACTCGAGTTGAGGTCATTCATGCAATTCATCGAAATCATTGCATTCTTGTAAATTAGCAAATTATCTAAAAACTCAGTGAGTGCCTTGGAGTTATCCTGTAATTGACCACCATTACCCTGAACAGCCTCGAATAATTCCCCTGCAATCATCGAAGGTCTTCCAAACCTTTGACGTAATATGCTCATAGCCTCGTAGTAGCCCTCTTTTGGCTTCATAAACTTACAGCACTGTATAGCTCTTGAAGCATCTCCAGCGCAATATCTCATCAAATACATTAACTTCAATTCATCATTTAATAAAATACCACTCAACATGATCTCAAACTCCTTTACAAATTGTAAATAATCAGCTGGGTTTCCATCAAAACACCGTGGTTCAAACTTAGGGAGTTTGATGTTCCTATTATCCCTGAACGGCGAAACAATAACATCAACCATGTCATGCTTAACATCAGACACATCGTTACAACTAACAGACAAGTCACCATGACTTACTTTCCTGTTTGCATCCAAGACACTCTGTCCCTTCTTTGACCCAGGCATTGTTGAACTTGACCCAATTCCAAAACAGTTCCAGATATTGCTTGTTCAAAGAGGACTTGGCAGGCACCAGGAAAAATGAACGGTGACTATCCAAACTTTCACCAACTGTTTGAATCCGCCGGATCTGTTTCTATCGTCAGAAACTGTCAATCACGTCTCATAAACCGTTAATGCCCCGCTCTCGCTACGCTCGGGCCCACTCTGTTCTTCGAAGATTTCTCAGAAACGCTTAGTTATAACGGACGACAAAACCAAAACACTGATCTGCCGCTTTAGATTTGTTTGTTGTTACACCAACATATAAAAGGAATAAGCGAACTAAGTAAACTAAGGTCTGAAAACAAATATTACAATAATAAATCTCTGTATTACTTCTGACGATGTTTCACTCTTCTTTCTGAACAGCGACCGATGAGACGATGACTGTCGTATTGATGCCTCCGCGAAAATCGGGGAAGTTGATTTTAGGCAAACAACCAAGAATTGATCGTTCAATCTTCAACTCCATTGACAGTGGCACAGTGGTTATGACTCGCCGATCATGAATATGGTCCGGGGTTCGAGCCGACCCCGTCGCACACCTGATATCTATGGTCGGCCTGCAAAATTTGGGCTACCGATATTCATGCTAAAAATTCCATACTTGTACCAAAAATACAGTGTGGAATCAAGCTGTAAATCAAAAAAAACTACAACGTGAAGTAGAATTGAACGCAGATGCACTTCCAAAAGGTGTGCATACTTGTGAGGCAGTCAGTGTAATTGATCAGCGTGTAGCCCACCTATCATCAGATGATAGTGCTAAACCCGAACTAGTAGTGAAAGACAGCAGTGGTGGTAATCTTGCAGTTGGACAACTATCTGAGAGCCGAACAAGAACAGCTTCTGATCCACCACTAAGTTCATCACCTTGTGTCACTCAGTCATCGTTGGTGCTGTCATCCACAATGAAACAGACACCCATCAACTCAAGTATCTTGTGCAATGACTATGGTAGTATCAGTTCGTTTGAAAGGACGAATATCAATGGTCAGTTTAGTGTGAATAAGCCAAGTGTAAACGAGAGAGTAATTGTTAAATTGACTTGCATGAATAAAGGCATTTCTAGTTTCAAGTTACTAATTGAATGTTATTATCTTTGGTGTAAATTACTCTGTTTCTACACTTGGTTGATGAGATATGTCGTGTGTTTGTTGGTCATCTATATTCTACGATACAATGACATGGGCGTGTTGCCGTTTAGATTTGAGGATATAGCTGATAGAAGGAAGTTAGCAAATGAACTCTGCAACGATTTTCCAACCTAGGGCGTCAACCTGAGAAGGGTTGTAGGCGTACTGCTGTAAGTCCTACAGTTCTTCAAAGGGTAGCGCATCAATGAGCAGTCAAAAATGCTCGGTGTGTGATTTTGTACATATATTCATATTGTATATACTGAATTGATATCATCTGTCATCTAGCTGTTGGTAATTCTGTTTGTGTCCGGACATTCCACAACTTACAATCGTCAACCTGTGAAGTGTTGTAGGCGTACTGGTGTAAGTCCTGCAATTCTTCAAAGGAATTCCATCGAGACACGATCTGCGAGTTTGTTTGTGCTGTTTGTATATACGTGTGGTGTGTCATATCAATCGGTGTATTTTGGATTCATTGTGTTTGCTGGTTGTTTTCGTACCCTGCTTTTGTTGCATAATTTTGTTAAAATTTTCGTCGTGATTACTTCTGAAGTTGTGTCCACTCTTCTACATCCATGAATGAATAGATTGATGTTAAGGACAGCAGATGGGGCGTATACGCCGGGGAGGCTAGGCTATTGGTGAGAATGAAATGCACACGGAGATAATTGTTAGCTGCGGTCCGACACGCCGGGGAGAAAGAGTGTAAACGACTGAGGCTCGCATTCGTCACCACTACTAGAACTGAGGCAGAATGAGGGACAAGCGATTGCAGTGGTAATTGGTAGTAAGTAGATAAGAGGATGTGCGTAGAGTATCGTGAGGTGGTGCTATGGTCACGTTGCATTCTGCAAGAGTCATTCTAGCAAGTGGCGATTGTGTTGCAAGAGGATGCCTTTAACTGGAGGCGCAGGTCTTCATCGATGTGTGAGATTGTGCTGTGGGTATGCTTGTGGAGTGTTGGCTTTTCTGTTTGTTTTCCATTTCAGCTCTGTCCGTGTGACCCGGGTTCTCGCAATGGCATCCAAGTCAACGTGTATTGGTCGTGATGGAAAAAGTGGTTGGATCCTTTTTTGCCGGGGAGTGTCAATGTAGTTGAAGATTGAACGATCAATTCACGGTTGTTTGCTCAAACCCAACTTCCCTAATTTTCGCATAGGCATCAATACTCCAGTCATCGTCTCATCGGTGGCTGTTCAGAAAGAAGTCTGGACAAACCGTCAGAAGTAATATTGTGATTTATTATTGTAATATTTGTTCACAGACCTTAGTTGTAAGGTTAGCTATATGTTGGTGTTAGAATAAAGAATTCTCGAGTCGCCAACCTGTGTTCTGGTTTTTTGTCCGTTCGTACTAAGCGTTTCTGAGAAGCAAGGAGGATGAGCGTGAGGCCCAGCGTAGCAAGAGCTGGGCATTATCGGTTTAGGGTACGTGGCTGTTATATGTCGACGTAAGTTTTTGACAAATTACGGACTTTTTTCTGCATGTATGTACATATATCTGTAGTATTTATGTATCCAAACACAGAATGAAGTTAAACCACACACAAAATGCAGAGTGAACAGAAGGGCAATTCTTCAGTGAATTAAGTCAGTTAGATTAAACCGAAAAGCTTCTGATGTGATTCACACGACAAAAGCTGAATTTAGTTCACAAGATGGAAATTGCCACCCTCCTTTCCTGAAGAAACCATTCAAATTACATTTCACCACTCGTGGAAAACTACACTTTATAATAAAATGTTAAGCAACAGCAATATCTAATCCACTTCGCCAAACCACTCAGTTAGTGGTTCCCACAAATCTTTGAAAGCTATTTAAGCTGCTGCCATGTAAACTCTAATTTTCTAGTGCAATAAATTGATATAAACAGATGTAAGCACACGAAACGTCAAAATGACTGCATATTAAAGCGTCCGACTAATGAAAGGAAGAGAATAACTGGACATGCGGAAACACATTCCAGACCTTCAATTTCTGTTTGTTTTCTTAAACTCGAGTATATCAAGGAGGCCGGTAGGAACAAGTGATAACTGACTGTAGAGATATCCGGTAGGTTGTCACATGTTTTTCGTAGAGTTGTTTTTGTTTTATATTATGAGTGGTGATATGCGAACATTATTGGTTACAGCTAGTTAATGTAGTGATCTGCACAAACATTTGTCGCCGTTCGAAACCTTATGATAAGAAGATGGAGTATTTAAATCTCGAGATGAGATCTCATTTATCATACCGAAGTAGGAGACGGGACTTCATTTTGGATTCCTACCGGCGTCCAACAGTCATTATATTTCTTGACCTAAAGGCGGCATTCGACTCTGTCAATCGAGAAGTTCTCTGGAGATGCTTGGCTGTAAAGGGAATTCCGAGAAAATATATTGCACTGATTAAGGCACTCTACTCGTACTCATACAGCCAGGTGAGGGCTTATGGCGAGCTGTCATCTGAACTGATGACGACCAGTGGTGTCCGTCAAGGATGCCCATTATCCCCTTTTCTATTCAACTTCATCATAGATGTGTTAATGGACTTAACCCTAAGTGACTTCAGCGACTCAGGGATTGACTTGCTACCGGGGAATAATCTCGTTGACTTGGAATATACAGACGATATAGTCCTTCTAGGTGAAGACGCTGACGAAATGCAGAGTCTTCTAAACACCTTGAGCCGCAGTCTACGAATGTTTGGCATGCGATTCGCTCCCGCCAAATGCAAGATGAAGTTACAGGACTGACTGGACTACATCGACGCCTAGTTTAAAAATAGGAAGTGAAGTGGTAGAGCACGTTGACCGCTTCACTTATTTGGGAAGTACCATCAGCCCCAACGGGCTGATCTCTGACGAAATCTCAGCACGAATACAAGGGGCTCGTTTCGCATTTGTTAGTTTACGCCGACTCTGGCGTAGACGAGATGTTCGACTATCGACCAAAGGGCGGGTGTACTGCTCATCAGTCCGCTCCGTCCTCCTTTATGGTTGTGAGACCTAACCACTGAGAGTGGAAGACATGAAAAGACTAGCTGGCTTTGATCATAGGTGCCTGTGCTCTATTTCCCGTGTAAAGTGGCATAATAAGGTGAGCAACATGGAGGTTAGGCGTAGAGTTCTAGGTAAACAGGGGAAATCAATCGACGAAGTCGTGAAGTTACAAAGACTGAGATGGTTAGGACATGTGTTACGTATGCCAAGCCATCGCCTCCCTCGACGAGCTATGTTAGCGGATATAGGGTCAGGCTGGAAAAAAGCTAGCGGCGGTCAAACAAAAACTTGGCATCAGTCAATGAAATCCACAACAGTTAGTCTAAGCCACGTAGGAAGGTGTAGAATGGCTTCCAGGCTGGGGTCCTCGGGACGGTAAAAATCTATGGTTGAAAACAGTTGGTGATATGGCTCAAAACCGTTCTCAGTGGCACAGATGCATCCACTCCCTGTGACTTATGATCTTCAATGAAACTGTTTTGTATTTCTTTATTACTCCTTTGTCTCACACCTCTGCTCACTGTTTCTATTATGCTTTTCTTGTACTTTCTTCTCTTGCTTCGCGTGCTACACGGAGTGTGGCGACTTGAACTTCCGCACATTTGTGAAAAGTTCTATGTCGAAAACAGACAGACAGAGACAGTCTAGCAAACTTACGTGTGGTTGGACTATAGTGAACTTATAAGTACACAGTCCTACAATCCCAAGCTTACAACCATTCTAAACTAATTTTAACCTACGAGTCAATAATAATAATCAGTGACTTACACCAACCCGATGGGACTTCTTCTGATTCCCAGACGCTGCCTAGTACCTCAGTTAATGCAGACAGTAAGCTGTCTCTACCGTACTTAAATACCTCTGGAGTCATTCCATCAGGTCCCGCTGCTTTGCCTAGTTTCAGATTGGTGACAGCTTTAGTAACCTCAGTTAGGGATGGAGGACCTGTGTCTATATCCCATTCAGGGAGGTGTTGGATGCTCGGAAGGTTGAGTGTTTGCTAGAACCGAATCCTGGCGTCAAAAATTATGTTATTATTATTATTATTATTATTGTATCCTTTAGTTCCTAGAGGAACATAGGGCTTCAGCTGCGCACCTCCATTGACTTCGGTTTTCTGACAACTTTTTCACCCTGCTCCAGGTCTGTCCACATGCTTTCATCTCCTCCTCGCATGACCTCCTCCAAGTCACCCTTGCACTGACGACCAACTCGCCGCCTCCCTTTCGGGTTCCACTCGAGGGCTTGTCTAGTGATGTCACTTGATGGTTTCCTCAGCGTATGGCCAATCCATCTCCATTTCTTTCTGCCTATTTGTTTCACAATCGGTTCCTGATTGGTTCGCTCCCAGAGATCCCTGTTGCTGATCTTTTCTGGCCATCTGATCTTGAGTATTGAGCGGAGACAGCTGTTAATGAAGGTTTGAAGTTTGTTTGAGATGCTCTTTATGACTCGCCAAGTCTCTGATCCGTATAGTAGCACTGACTTCACATTGGAGTTGAAAATCCGGATCTTATTTTTGATGCTGAGTGCTGTTGACCTCCACACAGATTTGAGAGTAATGAAAGCTTGTCTTGCTTTTCCGATTCTGGCTTTGATGTCCTCGTCAGTTCCGCCTGTAGTTGAGACGATGCTTCCCAGGTAGGTGAAGGAGGTTGTTTCTTTCAGGTTCTTCCCATTTATGCTGATTGTTGTCTGTTGTTGTTGCTGTTGATGTTGGCTAGGAATCTTCATCATCTCTGTTTTATCTATGTTCACGTGAAGTCCTATCTTTGATGCTTCTTCTGCCAACTTGTTACTTTTCACTTGCATATCTTCCAGTTTATGGGAAATCAGACATATATCATCGGCGAAATCCAGATCCTCCAAGTCTTTTGTGTCAGTCCATTTTATGCCTGTTCCCTCGTTGGTTGCCGTTGTCTGTCGCATTATCCAATCAATTGCAATCAGGAAGATCATTGGTGATAGTAGACAGCCTTGCCTCACTCCCGTCCTCACTTCGAAGGCTTCCGTAAGTTTCCCGTTGTGGATTACTTGGCATGCAGCATTGTCGTATAACTGTTGGATGAGATGTATAATTGTCGATGGGACCCCGTAGTAGCGAAGTAGTTTCCAAATGACCTCTCGATCGACGCTGTCGAAGGCCTTTTCAAAGTCGATGAAGTTGAGATAGAGAGGTGACTGCCATTCCAAGCTTTGTTCAATGATGATCCGTAGAGTGGCGATTTGATCAATACATGATTTGTTTCTCCTGAATCCAGCCTGTTCCGGACGAAGTTTTTCATCTAGGGCTTGTTTGATTCTCTCCAGGATGATGCGACTTAGTATCTTGCTTGGAATGGACAGAAGCATAATTCCACGCCAGTTTTTACATTGACTTAAGTCTCCTTTCTTTGGAAGTTTGAATAAGTATCCGTTCTTCCAATCCTCGGGTACTTTGCCCTCTTTCCACACCTTCTCCAGCAGTGGTGTCATCAAGTCCGCTGTTGTCTCTGGGTCTATTTTCAAAGCCTCTGCTGGGATTCCATCTGGTCCCGGTGTTTTCCCAGCTTTAAGCATCTTGATTGCATTCAGGACTTCTGATTTCGTCGGGGGGTCAGTGTTCACTGGTAGTTCTGCTTCCGTTGTTGGTATTGCTGGACGTGTTGTAGGTGGCGGACGATTTAGAAGTCTTTTGAAGTGTTCAACCCAGTGCTTTCTCTGTTCCACCTCTTTGGTGATTGACTTTCCATTGTCGTCCTTTATTGGCTTAATCTGTGTCGAACGTTTGCCCGAAAGGTGCCTAGTTGTTTGGTAGAGTGTGGCGAGGTCTCCTTTGCCTGCAGCTTGTTCTGCTTCGTTTGCCATGGTTTCATAATATTTTCTTTTGTCTTCCCTGGCACTCTTCTTCACTCTTTTGTTCAGTGTATTGTAGCTTGCATTCAGCTCCTGTTTTTGTTGCTCGTCAGTGCACTGGATAATCTTTTGCTTCACTGTCCTTCTCTCTTCTATTAGTTTCCAAGTGTCCGTAGTGAGCCACTGTTTGTCCTGTCTCTTTTTTCTGCCTAGAATTTCTATGCAGGTTTGGCTCCACACCGTTTTCAAGTTGTTCCAGTGCTTTTCCACGCTGACCTTTTCGCTGGTGTTGATTTGTGTCTCGGCTTTGTCCTTTATGCTTGCAATGAAGATGTCCTTTGTAGCCTGGTCCTTCAGCTTTTGAGTGTTGAACTTGGCTTGTGGTCTATCTGCAGCTCCTGATTCCCTGAAAGCTTTTAATTTGATTTGGATTGTCCCTTGTACGAGATAGTGGTCTGAGCCAACGTCTGCTCCTCTTCTTGCTTTTGTGTCCAGTAGGCTGCGCCTCCACTTCCTTGAGATTGAGATGAAGTCGATTTGGTTTTTGGTTTGCCCGTCTGGTGACACCCATGTAGCCTTGTGGATATCTTTGTGCTTGTATACACTGCCACCAATCACCAGTTCGTTGAAGGCGCAGAAGTCGGCGAAGAGTTCTCCGTTTTCATTCATTTCTCCTAGAGCTTCTCTACCCATGATGAGTTCCCTTCCTGTATTGTCTGGTCCCAGTTTGGCGTTCATGTCTCCCATTAGTATTTTCATGTCGCCAGCTGGAGTATTGTCCATTGTTGCCTGTAGTTGCCTGTAGAATTCTTCTTTCTTTTCGAGGTCTGCGTTGTTTGTGGGTGCATAACATTGTATGATTGACACTTTCCTTCCTTTGGAGTTGAACCTGGCGGTCATTATCCTGGACGAAATCGCCTCCCATTGTATCAGGGCTTTCGTTGCCGTTGGTGACATCATGATAGCCACGCCCTCGGTGTGCGTGTGGTTATCTTCTGGGTGACCGGAGTAGATCACTGACTCACCTGTTGACAATTTGGTGAGTCCACTCCCATTCCATCTGCTCTCACATATTCCCAGCACTTGTATTCCGTATCTTTTCATCTCGTTGGCGATCTGGGCAGCTTTCCAGTCTCGTACATAGTTCGGACGTTCCATGTTCCTACACAGACTTTTTCTTTTGGTGCAAAGAGGTTCATTTTGCTGAAGTTTCTGTAGCAATTTTGTTTACAGGGTGGGGTTGCTAGCCTCACGCCTGAGAAAGGAATGATTACATTAAGTAAAGTTTAGAGAGAAGCAACTTTTTGGGTTGGGTTAGGGTTAGGATGTGTATTAAGTGATATTGTCGAAATCCCATTCAGAAATTGACAACCTCTGCTTGATTTCATCCGGTACACAATGAACTAGTAGTGGAGTTTGAATTACGACTTGAATATATGGACATCCAATTGAGTTGGAGTATCTCTTGGACGAAGGAAAGACAAGTTTGTCGGACTATATGGAATTATGTAGACAGCTTGGTCATCGAATGACGGTAATAAAAAATTAAAAAGCCATACTGACGTGTTTTGCGGTCGCGCAATTTCTCATGCATATGAGAATATTTGAAACACGGCTCGTTTGACATTACACTAGAATCCATCAAAGTTTTCATTGTGGTAAGAGAAACCGCTTGGAACTTGAGTGAATTTACTTAACAAACTGTATTCTTTGACTTTTATTTCAGCCAAAGATGCCTCGACAGGTGGACAACATAAAAGAATTTCTGCACATGACGCAACGGGCAGATGCCAAGTGTAAGCCATTCAAACCTAATCATAATGATAACTTTTGTAGCCGTTAAAATCAAAGAGAATAAAGACAATGTCAAATTTAAAATTCGCTGCAGCCGATTTTTATACACGCTTGTTGTAGTTGAAAAGGAAAAAGTTGGAAAGATTAAACGCTCACTACCTCCAAGTAATTATAATGAAGTACTGGCTAATCTTGACTCTTCCTTTAGATCTGACTGTCAAAGAACTGTAATGTGCTATTAACAAATAAATACTTTGAGAACGAAGTTAGCCTCATGATTTCCTGACAGTGTGTGCGGGTGTGGTGATAAAGGAAGCTAGAATGAGACAGTCGCAATATCTATGACCATTTGTAAAGCTGGGTTACATCACCTCACACCAAACTGAGTTTTAGTTGCTGACAGCAACGACTAAGAAGTCAATAAAACTAGCGACTGTGGAAAGCCACAGAATGAATGAGGTGTAAGGAACAGAGTCAGGTCACACAAGATATGAGAGTTATTGCTTCTACGCCACTGTGAATGGATTTTAGAGGATTCGTTTGTCTTGATGAATTTGTTTGTAGTTTGTCGGTCCCTTCCAGCTAAATGAGCTACATTAATTGACGTTATCCATTGCGGCCTCTTAGAAAAAAGACTTATAAACGAGTCATAAGCATTGCTTGCGTTTGAAATATACCGTGGTTTATACATCGGCACGCGCAGTGTTTCACTGAGTCGTCGTACTAATCAACTAAATATATGCGATGAAGAGAGTATAAGAAACATTGAGTGAAAGCGCATAAGTGTAACCGCCATTAGTTAAATTGGACCGTCGTTGAATTCTATCTAACATATACAAAGGGGTTACTGTGCTCGAGAAAAATTCTTCTGAGAATTGGTTGGAGCGTGAATTGTGTGTTGTATTTTCGTATGCCCACTAAGATTGCGCTCGATTTCACGTGGTATTTTTTGATGAAACATGTGTTGCATTTCAGGGTTATAAAATGGTTGTGGGGGGGGGACGAAATAGTAGACTTTTGCTAGTTGAGGGATTGTGAGCGAGTGTGAGATTGGACACCGTGAATAAACTACTTGTTGTGACGAGTTATAAGCGATGTGATGGTGTATTGGACGAAGTGTCTTGGTGTATGAATGTAGGAGAGGGTATTTATGCGGATGTAGCGTGTCCCCAGTGGTTTATTTTACTGTGTATTAGGTTTTCGCGTAGACTTACTGTGACTCAGAGAGTGGGGACGAGTGAGATATGGTCGTCCTAGATCTCTGTCAAATTTAACGCTTGATCTGATGATTTTTAGTTAGCTAGTAAGTGTTTCAAGTAGTTAGTGTTGAGAGATTCGCTGGGACTCTTGTGGATATGGTTAGTCAGTGTTGACGGATGCATGAAGACAAGAGAGAGAGAGAATTGTCTGAGTCTGGCTTTTGTTAGCCAACAAGTAAGTGGTGTCTAGTTTTTCTGAATGACTGGTGTTGAGATGGAGACAAAATGATGGATTTATATGGTAAGTTAGTGGTATTTTTAACATAACTGTCATTTATGATAGACTCTTCAGACTGAATGACTGGGCATACTGAAGAGGAGTTTCGATGACTTCCCGTGGAATACAAAGCGCTATTAACATGTTAGTTTTCGACTAGGATAAATCATAGTTTTTTATTGCTTTCGTCTTGTTGAATATGTACTATGTGATGCGTGTATAACACGTCTTATGAGATGGTTAGTGATTGGTCTTTCACACTGACTGATTGTCTAAATTGGTTCTTATCTGTTGTTTCTCTTTTCAGATGTCACTGGGTAAGTAGGCAAATTCGAATTGTCATTTAGTGATGAATTAATTGCGTGTCATATGAACTTTCATTGATATGCACTATTAATCTGATAGAAATTCCCAGTTAGCGGCTCTTCTATATTTCAATGCTATCATCAGAACGACAAATCTTGTTGCTAAATATTCATTTATTTTTCTTTGTGTTTTGCATATTTTTCCTAGTTGAGTTGGAGCAAGTTATCGTGAAGTTATTGTTTTTTGTGACATGAAAGGGCGTATGTGGACGGATGCGGCTTTACGTTTGGTTCCTACCAGTTGTTATAAAGTGCCAATCCATTCTGGTAGTCTGGGAAGAAAAAACTATGATGTTACTTGTGAAAAACAGTGTATGAAGTGATGTAAAGTATACATGTTATGTGGAACCAAACCAGTTTTCATTTGTTTTCATTGTTTATCGCGTCATCACTTGGAGCTATCCATGTTAGTGTACGCCTTGTAGTGGTTTAGCTTACATTTATGTAAAGTGACGTCTTAAGAGATAATGGTTCTTTCACGTTCATGTGATATACGTCGTCTACAAACGCAGGTTTCTGCTGAAACTAGAGGGAAATCAGGGCAACAAGTCAATCGTCAAAAATACGAGACATTTTGCGATCAGAAATGCTATATGATGAAGATTTCCAAACCAGCTATAGGTCGTGTCTTACCGTAACATAACAGCGCAATGATTGGCGAAGAGGCTTAACCGCGTACCTTCAGCCCAATAAGTCGTCTTAATCGGTGAAGGTAAGCACCCAGTCTGTTGAGTTAGGAAACCTGTAGACTGATAATTTTGAAGAATTATGTACGGCTACAGCCCACTTCCGCCTTAGTGGGGTCATGAGCAGTCTAAGCTAAAAACCTAGTGGCTAAACCACTAGTAAATCTCATCCTCTGGGCGCGATGACAGTGAGCTGCCCACAGGTCATACATGTATGGTAATTTTATTTTTTAACGTTCGTTTGCTTCTTCTCCAGTGCCCATCGCATCTGGAAAAGAATACATGAATGCTGAGAACTCTATTGGGAAAGAATTGCTGAAAGCAGTGGTTGGTTTGGGGCATACAATGCGATAAAATGTGAAAAGAGAGGACATTGAGAAAAGCATGAATTTATTTTGTAAAGCAGTTAACCGATGATGCAGGGTAGTGTAAGATAATCCACGTGTATGTAAGGAAGTTCCATAAGAATAAAAGATTACGTCTATGAAAAATGACGTGTGTTCGTCCTACTGACCAAATGACTGGGTTTCACCATAGAACTTAACAAATATGTTCACCAGTTGAAGTTACAACACCGCATGTAGCACACAAAAGTGGAAAAGTAAAGAGGAAAACTTGGATCCAACAGCATGCACAGAACTGCCTGCCAGTGGGCATTAATCCTACAACGAAAGCAGAAATTTTGAGTGAGATCACCCTCCTGAAGGCCAGTTGGGAAGGCAGTGGGACCAGAAAGAATCCCCCCCGAAGCACTGAAAACGGACTCAGGGGTTACGGCAGATTTGCTCACGTCATTATTGAAAAAGGTTTGGAAAGAAGAAAAAGCTGCCGATTGGAAGAAAGGATACCTTGTCAAGCTGACAGACAACCTAGGCCTGTGCAAGAACTGACTAGCGTGGAATCATGCTCTTGTCCACGTCAAGTAAAATAATAAGTTGAATCATCCCGGAGAGAATAAAGGATGCACTTGATACAGAACTCCGCTACCCACTGGAACAAGCTGGATTCAAGAAAGGTAAATCGTGTGCTGATCAAATTACAGCTTTTTTCATTTTTGATTACAGCTTGATTCCACACTGTATTTTTGGTACAAGTATGGAATTTTCAGCGTGGATATCGGTAGCCTAAATTCCACAGGCCGACCATAGATATCGGGTGTGCATCAGCGTCGGCTCGAACCCCGGACCATGTGCATGATCGGCGAGAGTCCTAACCACTGTGCCACCGACGCACGCGTCGGCATCACAGAACAAACCATAAAATGGCAGTCAAACCTCACTCTACCTCAACTTCGAAAAAGCCTTCAATAGCGTTGACTGCCACGAAGTAATTTGGAAACTGCTTCAACACTACGGCTCGCAGTGCCCAAGTCCTTATCAGCATCGGAAAGGCAAGATCAGACCTTCATCACTCTAGAATCAGTTTGGAAATCTTCTGCACTCAGCATAAAGAACAAAATTCGGATTTTCAACATCAATTTTAAGTCAGTCACTTCTTCTATATGGGTCAGAAACTTGGCTAGCGGGTCAGAGAAAACATTTCCAAAAGCCAACTGCAGACATTTATCAACAAGAGCTGCCTTCGCTGAATCCATATTGAAGATCAGATAGCCAGCGAGAAAGAATCAGTGACAAGAAACCAATCAAGAATCTATTGTTCAACAAATATGTAGGAGTAAATGAAGATAGACTGGACACACTGAGGAGACCGTCGGATGACATCGCATGCGAAGCCATGGATCTAGTGGAACCCGAGTGAGGGAAACGACGAGTTGGGAGTGTGATATGGAAGAGACTGTGTTGTGAGGAGAAGGAGATGAGAGATTATAGGCGATTTGTGGACCTGCCTTAAGAAGATAGCAGAGAATAGGACAAAGTGGAGTTGCGCTGTTGAAGGTCTGTATTCCACTCGGAACCAAAGGGGAATAACAAGAATAATAGTAAAATTCTTAAGCATGACTCTGACGACACTTTAGCAGTAATCATTGCATAGTGGCTCGAATAATTAACTTTTCCAGTGTTTAAAAAGAATAATTCAGAAATCATAACATACATTTCTGTACTCTGACACACGTTAATCTCGAATGAATTTTCAACGTATAAAAGTGTAACCCTTCAAAGATGTCACTCTACACACACATAAAGAAAAAAATGTTACCAACAGTCTGAAGTCATTGGTTACTAGCATCTCTGCACCTTCCTACATGGATTAGACGCATAGCCTAAAACTGTATACACTGTTGCCATGTTTCGGTTCGGTTCCTGACCGATAGTTGCTACCTTGACGTGGTGGTCAGGCTTGCACATCGCGATGACCCAACAAGCTACACTACTGGCGGGAACCAATGTTCCTGCAGGTCCTACTGTGCCATCAAGGTTGTTAGGATAGCGATTAGACCAAAAGCAGTTACTGGCATTGCGTAAGAATCTTTCTTACACTATGCTGGGGAACAGGGGTGTAACAGCAGTGAGCTGTTTCCCTCAGATGACCACATGCCAGCTTTTCTGTCTCTCTACTCCGGAGAGACGGGGTTGGAAAAAGTCGACCCCAAAAATTGTGCATCTTGAGTTATCCTAGGGTGGTCCGTAACCGGCGATAAGTTTACTAATACGGAACCAATCCCAGAAACCAGTTCATACAGGCCTTGTGTGACCGGCCGACCTCAAGCAGTTGTCCCCTGGGCTCTGCGGTCACGCAACACTAACCCTTTCTCTGTTTTAGGTACCCGAAGAATCAATCAATTTCCACGGTGTGAGCAGCCGCGTAGTAACAATTGCCCACACACTTCTAAAAGCACACTTCGGTTCGGTTTCCAGAATAATCCAACGTCACCTAACATCATTCGACGAGGAAGGGCGATGGCTGGGTGTGCATGCGTACCATATGCCCGGCGATCTCGATCGATGCAGCGTCACAACCTGATTAACCAACCCTCCTCCTTACTTCACATAAATATTTTTCACCATATTATACCGCTTAACATCCATCTTGCAACTATAAGTCCACTTGAAAAGGCTCTCTTCTAATCTAAAACAAAAATAAGCACAGGGTGTCCAGGGCATGACTGTGTTTACGCCCGTTGTCAACTTTAAACCATCATTTATGTGTTTTGTAAGCCTCAAAAAATCCCAACCAGAACGTCTAGACACACTTACGCAACACTAATACAGATAAGTGCATACATGTACCATATTTTGCGTGAAAAGATGGGATTAGGTCAAAACAAAATGTACCGTTGTTTTATAATCATAACGATATCCTTCTATTTTACAATATGGGATAAGATAAGATAAATCTCAGTAAAACCACAACTACATATCTCCGGTATTACCAACAATCGAAACTGGTTAATACCCAAAAATATTGGTTTTAAATTTATGACCAGCCAAACATATAGCCGAGTGCTTTGGATATTAATCCAGAATCCCTGTCCTGTCGAACCTACAAGTAATGGAAAAAAATACAAGTTAAGTATAATCTGAATGAGGTTAAAATGTTAACTCAATTAGTCATCTTAATAGATGTGTAAAACTTGGGCACTGTGGTGGTAGTAAGTAATTCCATATTAGTTTGTTTATTAGATGTATCACACAGTCAGTGAAACAGCAGTATTATTTACTGGATGACAAGGTTTCGAACACAATTTATTTATTGTTCATAATCACATAACCATTTATAATCAGACGACTTTGAAACTTGAGTTTTATAGTTTTCTTTGTTTTCTCCTCCTATTTGTCGTCGTTGGAATAGTAGAATTTTCCAGATGTCTAGGTGGTCACGTGTTGCAGTTGGTTCGACAAGCAAAGCTTCTATTTTTTTTATTACAGCTTGATTCCACACCATATTTTTGGTACAAGTATGGAATTTTCAGCGTGGATATCGGTAGCCTAAATTCCACAGGCCGACCATAGATATCGTGTGTGCGTCGGCGTGGGCTCGAACCCCGGACCATGTGCATGGTCGGCGAGAGTCCTAACCACTGTGCCACCGACGCACAGTTATCAATGTTTAAGTGATAGAGCACAAAAACTAAGTCGTACCAAGGAAAATCTAAGACAGGAAGTGATACATAAAAGAAGCCTTGAAACTTAATAATTATCCGGATATATTAGTCAGGAAATATGTAAGTAAATCCAAAAATAAAATAAATAATGATAGTAGTGACAGTGATAATAATAATAATGACGACATGAAAGTCAAATGTGCGCAAGACAACACCAACAATACGGAATCTAAATCATCAGTAGGAATTCCATACAAGGAAGGAACCTCGGAAGCCCTACGCAGAATTCTTAACAAGGCAAGAATAAAAATGGCATTCAAACCCACAAACTCAATTAGAAACAAGCTTTGTCGGTTAAAAGATCCTGTGGAGCCTTTAAAACAAAACAATTTAGTTCACCTAATACCCTGACTGCAATGATTGTCAGGTCGAATACATAGGTCAAACTAGTAGAACAAGTTCATTCAGTCAGACTAGTCGAGCACAGAAACCTAGCGAAATCTAGATTGGTTGACCTTAATAAGATAAGAAATCTAGAGAATAGTTCAGCCATAGCATTACATGCAGTCACGCACAACCATACACAATAGGGTGGATGGGATAGGATGACAGTTTTGAAATCTAATGTCACAGGGTGAACAGAGGGAGAGATTGATAACAGAAGCTTTCTTTATCGAATCAACTACAAATACATGTAATAGAAATGATTCAACACCCGACCACCTAGACATCTGGAAAATTCTACTATTCCAACGACGACAAATAGGAGGAGAAAACAAAGAAAACTATAAAACTCAAGTTTCAAAGTCGTCTGATTATAAATGGTTATGTGATTATGAACAATAAATAAATTGTGTTCGAAACCTTGTCATCCAGTAAATAATACTGCTGTTTCACTGACTGTGTGATACATCTAATAAACAAACTAATATGGAATCAAGTAGTCATCGTCAATTTCGGTCTATGTATAATCGCTAGAAGTTTCTCCTAAAAGGAATTGCTGATATGCAGTACTTAGAATGCTTATTTCTTACTAAGCTTCACTTGTTCATACGTGTGCGCTGCTGATGAGTCCTTAACTAAAAATGAAACAGCTGTCCAGTCTACTCAGGTTTTCCAGTGGTTCTCTAACCAATGTCACCTGATGATGAAATCGTGTGATCATTCAAATCACCGTAAACCAACACCTTGATAGTGAATCTAATGCTCACTAGCAGCAACTGGCTGTATACAGAAAGTTACATGGAGTTCTAGTGAGAATTCGCAACCAGTGGAGTCCACCAAGTCAGGGAGGAGATCAGTTACTCACCCGTGACATTGGCTGGCGGTTGCGCTATAAACATTACGAATTAGCAGGAGTTGGAATGCATGGACTGACCATTGGATCAGGCACGTCCCTATGGGTTTATGGCCTACAACCTCACCTTGTGACCAGAGGGTCCTGGGTTCGAAACCCGGCGAGTGATTACTGTTGAAGAGTCCAGAACTAGGGTGAGACACCAGTTCAGTACTCTCAGGTTCTTTAATAAATCTCTAACTGATATCAATCCGTGACCAAAATCGATCACAAAGTTTATTATATTACTCTGCTCACGATTACTCCTGATAATACTACTAAACATTTCTCACAGAAACATGCCTAAATACGCACTTCACTTACATCCTCACACCTCATCGACTGGTAGATACTATGCCCTTTCATAATCATTCCATAACATGCTGTAGAAGAAACTACTATTTTTGGCACATTTAATGACCGCAACAATTATTCAGGCTTAGTGTGAGAGGAGTGTAGAGGAGTTTGGGTACCATGGTAGAAAATAATCTAATATATCGGATGATTCGATCAGCAAAGATTCGGTGATTAACCTCTCCCTCCAGTGAATTATATCATCATATTGTGGCATGTGCTACTAACAAGATTTATCAATAGTAGATAAATGCAGATTGATAGGAAGTAGTCGAAATTGAAAAACAGCATTTTGAGACAATAGCTACAGAAATAGAAGTGTTCATCTCTCAAAACCTACAACTCGTTTACGTTGTGGTCAGGAAACAATCTCAAGATTTAACCTCTAAAAAGTTAACAACTAATCAGAACAGTCTATTGTCAGTAGACAACTTTTCGTCTCAGACCTTTTGACCTTCAGAAAATTAACCACCAATCAGAACAGTTCATTATCCGTTGACCTAGCCGACCATAAATATGGCATTTGTTAGTTTACGCCGACTCTGGCGTAGACGAGATGTTCGACTATCGACCAAAGGGCGGGTGTACTGCTCATCAGTCCGGTCCGTCCTCTTTTATGGTTGTGAGACCTGGCCACTGAGAGTGGAAGACATGAAAAGACTAGCTGGCTTTGATCATAGGTTCCTGCGTTCTATTTCCCGTGTAAAGTGGCATAATAAGGTGAGCAACATGGAGGTTAGGCGTAGAGTTCTAGGTAAACAGGGGAAATCAATCGACGAAGTCGTGAAGTTACAAAGACTGAGATGGTTAGGACATGTGTTACGTATGCCAAGTCATCGCCTCCCTCGACGAGCTATGTTAGCGGATATAGGGTCAGGCTGGAAAAAAGCTAGCGGCGGTCAAACAAAAACTTGGCATCAGTCAATGAAATCCACAAAAGTTGGTCTAAGCCACGTAGGAAGGTGTAGAATGGCTTCCAGGCTGGGGTCCTCGGGACGGTAAAAATCTATGGTTGAAAACAGTTGGTGATATGGCTCAAAACCGTTCTCAGTGGCACAGATGCATCCACTCCCTGTGACTTATGATCTTCAATGAAACTGTTTTGTATTTCTTTATTACTCCTTTGTCTCACACCTCTGCTCACTGTTTCTATTATGCTTTTCTTGTACTTTCTTCTCTTGCTTCGCGTGCTACACGGAATGTGGCGACTTGAACTTCCGCACATTTGTGCAAAGTTCTATGTCGAAAACAGACAGATAAATATGGCTACAAACGTATAAATACGGTGCGTCTCACCAACAAAAATGTCCCTTACCAAGTCTCTTATCCCGTTACAGATTTATAGTTGGGGATACTGATGAAAGATACGGCCTTTTTAGTGGCAGTAAACGAAATCCTTAAACTTTGGAGGAAAATAAAAATAATAACCAAAGTAGATTGTGGGAAGGGGTGAAAAGCGACAGACTAGGACATGGAATGAAAGTTGGTCAACTTACACTTGCTGTTCTTGACAGACTTGTTGGTCGATTAGATGCAGCCAACGATCGCATTGAATTATGTCTGCCAATGCTACTACTACTACATACTGGTTTGTCTGCAATCATATGATTGCCAGAATCTATTCCAGTATTATTTAATGATAGCGGCTTTAATCCACCCATATCTCTATTCGGAGTTCTATTCATCATTGTTCTAGTTGTTCTTTTATTGTCACCATCATCGATACCACGACGAATATTATGCATACTGTTATTGTTATTCGATGGACTAAGGAATACAGAATCATTGATATTACTGGTATTTGTCTGTCTACAAAACACACCAGACTTTTCTCCATCTATTACTTGCTGTCAATGAACAAAAAGAAAGCAATAAATAAATAATTAGAATTGCCTATCACATCCCATTAGTGTGTAAAGCAACATGAAATGACGGTAAGTGGCTTGCAGTAGGAACCAGAATGCACTTTTCGTCCGATTCGGAGCTCATCAGCAGGATAATGTGACTGTATTCGCAGTGAATCATGACACTTTCCCCTCTTGTTCCCCCTTGCTGAGACTCGAACTCAGCATCCATCGTTTCAAGTGCTACACAGAGTTTTTCACTAGGCCATTGGATGGGGGGTGGGAGCAAGAGAACCCCCTTCTATTCAGCAGGTATTAGTTGTCATTTTTTGTTCAAGTTAGTTTTTGAATTCCCCGTGTTGATTGTCAACACTGGATCAGAGTGCTGAGTTTCTGTTAACATGTTCGCTTCTGGTACAAAGTGATGGCAAACTCTGGTTCACCGTGTTAATGTTCAGGTTCTGTTGGAGTGTCCATCAATAGTCATTGAGAATTTCAGTCTCATGTAATCAATCAGTAGTCATGCGTCGGTGGTTCAGCGATACAATGCTCGTCAATCATACCCAAGTGGTCCGGTCCTCGATTCCCAAACGGCGCAAACTTTCACCCCACCCCCACCACCACCAACTCACCTGTAAGCCTGACATGGAGGGAAGGTTGGGTGTAAGGCTGACCAGCAACCCCAACCCGTAAAAAACACCACTGCTACTGAGATTACAAAGCTCCAGAAGCCTGAAGTTCTATGTTCCCCCATCGGAACTCAAAGGAATATAATAATTCAAAAATATATAATCAATAAATAATGGGGGATACAAATAATAACATCAGACGTATTGATAAAATTTAGTGCTGTAAGTTTTTGACAAAAAGTTATAAAAAAACGAGAAATTCTCCAAACTGTTGTTTACAGTTTGTCGTATCCATCAACCACTGTCTACTATTAAACATTAGACGACTTAGCATTTAACTGGTGGATGGTGACTAGCAGTAGAATCCAGGATAACGCGCATTTTGTCCTACTTGGGACTAGTCAGCCGGATGTACCTGTATTTCTCAGTGAGTGATGATGTTCCCAACAGCGAGGCTCGAACCCGGTGTACATAGTTTCAAACGCCAAAGCGTTGTTATCCACTAGACCACTTGGGCCACGAGAGCCACCTCTTGCACAACGGGTCATATTAATTATTTAATTGAATTTTAGATTTTCCCGTCGATTGATTGGAGTGAAGTGCTTGGTCTCACTCAGGTTGACATGTCGGCTTCTTGTACAGATGCTTCGACGATGTCTGGGCATTTAATTAATAGCATCCTGGATTCCACTGCTAGTCGCCATCCACCAATTAAAAACTAGGTTAAATGCCCAGACATCGTCGAAGCATCTGCACAAGAAGCCGACATGTCAACCAGAGACCGAGCACTTCAGTCCAATCAATCGATAGGAAAATCAAAAATTCAATTAAATTAGACGACTTAGTTTCCTCTAAAAATTTCAACAGACAACAAAAGAAGACTAAAAACCTAAGTCAATTTCAACGCAAGTGGTATAAAATATTCGAAGTCACCAGGATCTGTGGCACAAGTAGATCACTTTTTATGGAATAAGTCTTAAATAAAGAAAAGTTTATATTCTTGAGTATTTTGGAATAAAATATAAGAAGAATTACAGGATTGACTACGGCGTATACAATAATGTTAATACCGCTATAGTACACAAACTCAGGTCACCGATATCTCAAAATATCAGACAGTAAAAGATCGGGATTACATATTAGTCGATGATCATGGCCATGTTCAGCATCGCTTAGTGAATGTAACGTCTCCAACTGCAGCACTGCATTGGGTAGTGAAGCGGCAGCAGATACCTGCAGTAAGGTTTTGAATACACCTCACTGATGAGTATGAGTAAGTACAAAAGGCATGTGTCCAGGAATTCCTCTTAACTTCCCTCCAACCAACCATCCAGCATCTTTAATTCGTTATCTTCTAGACTAACTAAGTATGTACATGTATCACAGAGCCGAAAAACAGACGTTAGCTACACTATCATCCAGTTGCCCATTACACTACATATACTTACTTTACTTTACTTCGGCTATCTCCTACGGGAGGATGAGCCGGCTTCATGAACCATGAAGTTTCATGGGAATTGGGTACGAGTGATGTCCCCAGCATCGCTCGGCCTTTTGTTTGAGAGTGCAGCTCTAGCCTTTACACAACCAAGTGTGACCTAAAAGGCAGTAGGAGTGGAGTAGGGGGTCCACTATCCATTGGCAGCCGGTGACCGGAGTCCGGTTCATTCGCCTTTTTGAATGGGGCCAGTCATCCAGGGCATCCAATAAGCCCATTGTCCATACGTCTGCCGGTGAGCTCCGGTGGGCTTCATACGCCACTCGTTGGAGGTTTGGAATCGGGGTTTAGCCATCTCCCCTAGACTGTCATCCAATGGACAGTCAACCCGGTGAAGAGCGCCGGGCATCCGCTTTTGCCCTCTCACTTTGGTGAAAAACACCTTCGCCACGTGAAGGCAGTGAGTAGGACTTCCTCAGGAGAGGCTATGTAAGACGCCCGGTCATATGGGAGCATTTCAAGAGGTGTACGGAGGGGTGGCCAACCCGCAGCGCAAGACACCCACCCCCGACCATCCTGAGGCTTTAGAGGCTAGTGAAACAGTCAATGTGAATTGTTGATAGATTAGATGGTTGGCGGCGGCAATCGCAAGGAAATCCTACCTGACCTAGGTTTCGTGTTTATTGGCACTGAACATTCACAGGAAGGTGTTCTTGTAATCTTAAAGGAAATCCTATCCCTTGTGAGATTCGAATCCGCGTCACCCGGTGTGCTGCAATCAAAGACATTACCACTGAGCTATTCGGATTCGTGACTGATCAATACAGTTCTACAAGAGGTGAATCGCGAACCTGAATAGCTCAATGATAAAGTCTCTGATTACAGAACACTAGGTGACATGTGTTCGAATCTTACAAGGAATATGACTTACTTCAAGATTGCAGGTACACCTTGCTGTGACTGGTGAGTGCCAACAAGCACGAAACCTAGGTCAGGTAAGGCTTCCTTCCGATTGCCGCTTCCAACCATTTAATATCAACAATTCACAGTGCACCATGATGGCGAGCCAACCAGTCTGCACCAACCAAAAGATTAGACACACATTACACTACTTACTAACTAACTGGTGTCCAATCGAAGTAAATACTCATTTTTAACTTCAGGACAGGATTCATGTAAAACAACCAGAAGGCCGACATATAAAGAGGATATTTATGATATCATTACGGTGCGGAAATTCTAAACCAAAATGATATTGAGTGACCTGAAGTCAGAAACATCTCTAATGATTTTATTACAGACAAACAGACACATATTCTTACTTTTACGCCATAAGAAATATGTTCGGCTATTGGAATAACGTTATTCGATAACCTCAATATTAATAATGAGGTTTAGGAGAGAAAGTCAATCGATATGTTTGTGAAGTTACATCGATTGAGATGGTTAGGAAATGTGTTACACAAGCATATCATGCCATCGCCTTCCTCGACGATAAATGCTAGCTGACTGACATAGGATCCATAAGGTTGGAAAAGAGATAGCTAGTGGTAGTCAAAACAAAACATGGCTTCATCAGTTAATGAAACCCACAACAGTGAGTTTAAACCAGTCAGGCAGGGAGATGTAGACTGGCTGTCTGACTGGTTGGCGTCCTCTGGATGGTAAGAACCAGTGAAGGCTGGAGACGATTGGTAATATGACTCAAAATCTTTGTTTTCAATGGCTGGCGAAGAAGCATTCACTCTTTGTGACTTGTTAAATCCAGTAAAACTATATTGTCATTCGATATTACTATTGTTTTTGCCTCACTCATCCTTCTGTTTATTATCTCTCCTTTGATGAATCTGGCTTAACTCTCTTCTCTTGCCTTGCCTGGTACATGCAGAGAGTGTAGCAACTCGGACTGCTGTACATCCGCGCAAAGTTCTGTGTTGAAACTAGTCAGTCAGTCAGCCAACTAGTCATTCTGTGGTGAGAGCTGGCTGCTAGCCAAAATTTGGTAGACAGTAATTTACGCCAATGTTTACGTCTCCAATATTGGTCGTGAGAAAAATAAGAACAAAGGCTGATTCAACAACCAACCACAGCAGACTTTGCGTAGGCGGACACAATTTTCAGATAGCGGATGATCTAAACTTCAAGAAACGGCCACAAAGAGAAGAAAGATTAACGTTCAGAGAGAAACCACCAATTAGTAGAAGACTGTATTTGTTTGCTTACAGTAATCTATAATAATGTACATGAAAATCTATAAATACACGTTGATTTCCTAAATAAACGATCTGTTACCTGGCCCTTATCTTCTGTCAATTCTTACAATTCTATAACCTTCGGAGATAATCAATTCAGGTGCTACTGTGAGACTCAAACTTTCTTGTAGTTTCAAACACTACCGCCCTGCACGATTTATAAGACAGAATTTATCAATCCATAGGAGCACAACGATCACACTCTCACAGCATAGAAAAATATACAACGTAAACCATCATTCTCATTAGCTTACTGGATCAGTACACACGGATACACCAACCATAATATTATCACCAAAAACTTTTCCATTTTTATTCAAAGCATAACGAGCTTGCATTTTGTTCTGGTATTTAATATGCATCCAATTACCATTATTTGTAATCTAAAAGGGAAGAAAGGAAAAATATATAATAATAATATTCAGGATGTATAAAGTGGTAATAATATTGTTTTTTGATTACAGCTTGATTCTACACCGTACTTTTTTAGTACAGGTATGGAATTTTTCGCATGTGATATCAGTAGCCCATATTTCGCAGGCCGACCATAGATATCAGGTGTGCGTCGGCAGGGGATCGAACCTCGGACCATGTGCATGGTCGGCGAGAGTCCTAACCACTGTGCCACCGACGCACACACGATTGATAAATAATAATGACAGCTTTATCCTGAACAGTGTTTATATATAATGTACAGAATTTTCGGCGGACCTCATTGCATGATATCTCCACTTTCTCCAAGATCTTCAAATAAAAGATTAGTTAATTGACAGTAGATCGTGTGACACAGTGTGGTGAGAGCAGGCTAGCCAAAAATGGTAGACAGTATTTTACGTCAATGGGTATGTCGCAAACATTGGTGGTGAGAAAATATGAACAAGACTGATTCAACAACCAATCAGAGAAGACTTTGCGTAGGCAGATACAGTTAACATATAGATGGCCTGACATTCAAGAAACAGTCACAAAGAGATGCAAGCTCAACTGTCTGTGAGAAACAACCAATCAGATGAGTGTGTTTGTTTGCTTGAATAAGCTATAATAATGTACATGAAGATATGCATAAAAAGGTGTTGATTTCCTTAATAAACGATCCGTTGCCTGGCTCTTCTCTTCTGTTGTTACATTATGATAAAAATCAACTTACCACATGTTTTTCAATAGTACCAAGTTGAGCAAATTGATTGAGAATGAATGCAGCTCGAGGTGGTGGGAACCTTGAGTGAAGTAATAAAAGAAGAGTACAGAAGGTTTCTTGAAAGAGACTAAAGTTAAGAAAGAATAAGGTTATACCTATACCAAAGTCATCTACCGGGCATGTGTCAAATTTAACTATGGAAAAGTTGCTTTGACTTGATCTTGAACCTTCACTTGAAGCCCCTTACCGTTTCCAATAAACACAGTAGAAGTACTTTAGATGCAGCTGCAGTCTTGTATCATAACACTGCCTCCAGCTTAGACAAGGGGGCTAAATTTGTTCGCTGCACCTTCCTAGATTACGCATCTGCTTTTCACTCGGTGGTAACCAGGGACATTTTGTTAAATAAGTTTGCTGCAACTCAAAATGAGTGTTGGGTTGTCAAGCGGGCGCATTCTTATTTCTTAGAAAGAAAGCAGTCCCACTGTATGTAAGGGGAATTGTTTACTAAGGCTGGCGTACCTCAAGGTGCTCTTCCTTCTCCTTTTCTTCTTGCATGACTTGCTTCACCCTGATGAAAAGAACTTTACTAAGCATGCGGACGATCTAACTGTCTCAGTGAGTGTTAACTACCAGTTAGCCTGTACCAAGATGAACAGCTTTTTTCTAATGATCTTAAACTAAATCCTTCCAAATGTCAGACTGTTAATTTCAGTTTCCGAAGTGAAAGAAAGTTAAATGAAGCTTCTGGTTCCTATGACAGTTGCAAAATTGATGATAGTGATATTTTTATTTTATTTTTTTTATTTTTGATTACAGCTGCATTCCACACTGTATTTTTGGTACAGGTATGGAATTTTCAGCATGCGATATCAGTAGCCCAAACTTTGCAGGCCGACCATAGATATCAGGTGTGCGTCGGCAGGGACCCCGGACCATTTGCATGGTCGGCGAGAGTCCTAACCACTGTGCCACCGACGCACAGAAATCAAGTCTGACGTCAAGCACTTCCACCTGATATATCCTGGTTTTACTACGTCTCAGTGATTTCTAGTAAAATATTTTGTCCACCACTACTTTACAGTAAAAAGTTAGGGCACTCGGGCATAACTCAACCAACCAACCCCTCCTCTTACAGTTTGTCATCTCTTTCATCTTCTTTATTCTTCACACTTATTCTTTCCTGGATTGCTTAAAAAAGACTATGTCATACTTCGTAGAACTCTGAAGACTGTCAGTCAGTAAGGTGAATGGTATCCCATTGGGCCTAATATAGTTGATAAGCACTTGATTGCATGCAATAAATTCGCTAAAGGGATTTAGTCAGACTGTGATCAGCATCCACTTTACCCTCACCTTTCACCTTGTATCTCCTGAGGTAGAACAAGAAGTCATTTCAAAAGACTTTACGCGCGTGTCAGGCGCGTACTAACTAACTAACTAACCTTCCTTCCACTAGTAAATAGACGATTTAATCCACCCTTGTTCCATCAACTCTTACTGTAATTATTTCTCTATTATTTATAGTCCTCTCATTTTATTTTATTTTTTTATTTTTTTTTTTTTTGATTTACAGCTTGATTCCACACTGTATTTTTGGTACAAGTATGGAATTTTCAGCATGGATATCGGTAGCCCAAATTTTACAGGCCGACCATAGATATCAGGTGTGCGTCGGTGCGGGCTCGAACCCCGTACCATGTGCATGGTTGGCGAGAGTCCTAACCACTCTGCCACTCTACCATAATTGTAAACACCATATAAGTTCTGTAATAACTGTTATTTTTTTGTTTACTCCCGCCCGCTCACTATGCTGCTATGTCAAAAGAACATCAAATACAATATTCTATTTCCACTAACTGTAACGACCATAATGTTTGAAACAAACGTACTGTTATTACTATCATTATTATTATAGTTATTATTCTCATTTTATACTTTGTCCATTTCTCAGATTATTTCTACTGTAAATGTGGAAAAGTTTCTATTATTATTAGTATTATTATTATTACTCTTATTATTATTAATATTATTATTATTCCGAGTGGAACCATAGGGCTTCAACAAAACATCTTCACTTCGTTCTATTTTGTGCCGTCCTCCTCAGCTGACTAGACCCATGATTGCCCAAACTCTGTCGTCTCTTCCTCACACAATCTCCTCCATGTCACCGTTGAACCGACAACCCACTCGTTTATTCTTATTTGGATTCCACTCCAGCGATGGCCTAGCGTGCGATGTCATTCGTTGGCCCCATCAATAATATGCTCGACCAATCCATCTCCACTTTCTCCCACACACTTGTTGAGCGATTGGCTCTTACCTGTAGGTTTGTTCCCATAGTTTCTTGTTGCTAATTCTTTCTGGCCATCTGGACGTCTAATCTTCAATATGGAGCAAGTGAAGGAAGCTGTTGATAAAAGTATGGAACTTATTCGAAATCCTTTCTGTGATACGCCGGCCAAGTTCTGGAACCATATACGGAAGGACTGACTTCACAATGGTGTTGAAAATCCGAGTCTTGTTCCTTATACTGAGTGACAGTGGAAGATTTCCATACTGGTTTTAGGTTGATGAAGACGTATCTTGCCTTTGCGATTCCAACTGACTTTGAACACCTTCATCCATTCCGCCTGTAGCCGAAACGATGCTTCCTAGATAAGTGAAGGGGGAAACCTCTCTGTTAATTCTCTCTCCTGTTGATGGTGATTGGTGCTGGTTTTTGTTGCTGTTGACTGGTTATCTTCATCACGTCCGTCTTCTCTGTGTTCACCTGCAGTTCTATTTTCTCTGTCTCTTCAGTCATTTTGTTGGTTTTCGCCTGCCTGCCTGCCTGCCTGCCTGTAAATATTCTAGTTTGTGTGACATTAGACATATATCATCTGTGAAATTCGTCTCTTCTAGAATCTTCTTATCGATCTTATCGGAAAAGTTTCTATGGTTAATTTTATTTATATTCTGAGTAAATAATTCGATGCAAGATACTGTGACAAATGCGGAAAATTCCATGTTGTATTATAAGCACTGTTTGTTTTGGAATAAAGCACACTATTATTATTATTATTATTATCGTAAAACAAACGGTATCAGTTGATAAAAGTCAGACATCCTTTTACTCCATGATGAAATTTCCACGTAACTCGACAGACACAACAGACATCACCAGTAGGTTCATAACCACTTGTCTACCACTGATTATCCGAGGAAGATTTCAATATCGCAAAAATCTCCATTTAGACACTTAGAAGAAAAGACTGAGCAAAGAATATCCGAGGAAGCACTGATACCTACTAGTTTTCTGAAGAAACAAATTTGCCATCGGGAACTGCAGTACTCTTTGAAAACGTTGATCAGAGTGTTCAGAAGACAACATTTTTATAAAGTCAATTGCATAATCCATTATTTTATTGAGGATCAAAAAGGAAGAGATGTCGACCAAACTGAAATAAGGGCGAACAAGGAAGGCACCCTCCCCCCCCACACCAGAAGTACAAATATGACATAAAGTGTAAAGAGTCGATATTTTCGACAAATTACCTTGCCTGACTGACTAGTTTCAACATAGAACTTTGCACAGATGTACAGCAGTCCCAGTCACCACACCTTCTGCATTTACGACACAAAGCATGAGAAGAGAATAGAGAGAGAGAGAGTCAACAAAGGACAGATAACAAACAGAAATGTGAGTGAGGGAAAAAACAACCACGTGGAAGAACAACAGTCTACACTGTTATTAAATTCCAGGTGTCTGATAATTGTCACATAATTTAACTTGATAGTAATATTAAATCTCACCTCTGTATAGTCGTTGTGACCGATTCACTTCCAATCAAAGTTTTAAGACAATTCCACAATCAGCTAAGTAACTACAACCTCAGAAAGATATCTAAGGCACTACCAGGGTACTCCTATCAATAACACTTCATATATATTTATCAGTACAGTAAACAAAATGGAATATATGACATAGCGCGCACACTAGCCAATGTCATCGGTGGTGGGTATTTGTCCTCACATTTGACCTGCTATACACCACTGCTCACGACTATTCACTAGAACCCAGGTAACTAAATACCTATCTGAGTGGGGTCAATCGTTAGTGAGCATCAAGGTAATATTGAGGTATTGGTAGTTTACAAGGATTTGACTGATTACAGGATTTCATCATGAGCTTACATCGGTTAGACGACCATTTGAAAACCAGTACTGGAGTATTGGATAGCTGTTTTGTCCTAGTTTGGGACTCTTTATCAGTACGCACCCAATGGGATTCAAACCCAGTACCTTCCCGTTACAAGGTGAAGTTGGAATTCATGGACTAGCTATTGGATCGGGCCCCAGAGGCTTAATGGTCGTCCATGAGGTCGCGTTGTGACCAGAAGATCCTGTGTTCAACCCCTGGCGGTGGGTGTGCACGGATGAAGCGTCCAAAACTAGGACGAAACAACTCCGCAATGGTTGACTAACCTATGTCAGCCCATAATAAAAACCTCGTAACCAGTCATATCCGTGCAAACCACCAACACTTGAAAATGGAATATACTTCAAATAGTCAACAGACTTACCCAAAAACAGTCACCCAACAATCGTGTAAATTTGGAGAGTCATTATCGTTGAAACTGTAAGGGAAATAAATAGATGAATCAAGAACAGTAAAGTGAATTTATTTACATTCCACACAAGTTTATATACTTAGATGATGGGATATTAATCAACGGAATTAAGATTACAGACTTACTGATTTCAGTTAATAGAACAATTTCAAACTCAAGATTACTACTTAATCATTTCTAACCTCTTTTAGTACATGAATATAAGAACAAACAATTCAGTGAAGAGTCTCTTTTCGACGGTAAATTTGCTCACTTAGCCTGTACAATCGCAAATATATATAAAATTATTTTTCTCTTTGTGTGTGTGTGTACACATTAGGTTCGTCAGATAATAATAAAAACTAGCTAGGCATATTGTTTACGTCACCGGCATATTTCAGAAGCTGTGATGAATTTGATATCCGGCTATCCACCAAAGGGCGGGTGTACCGCTCATCAGTTCGTTCTGTCCTCCTTTATGGCTAACTGTGAGACCTGGCCATTGAGAGTAGAAGACATGAAAAGCTCGGCTAGCTGTCTGTTATGTACGGCTGCTGAGTGAGTTATTAGAGTAGCTTTCCCCGTCGCCAATTATGTTATGCACTCGTCGAGTAGTTAATAGTCCTGACGCGGAAAGAGGGAAATCAGAAGACCACCAGGTTTACGATGATACTTGTGTTTTCCAGACAAGGAAAATAAATGTCACACAAGAGTGTGAGTGAAAGGGTACTTAGATGTACGAAATGTGGGAACAAGTATCTAATACAAAAGTATATATGAAAATGGCTAATACACATGAACCAATGGACAGACAGTCTTAACATGATTGGTTGTAACTTCATGTGACAACAAGGGCATACATGTTTATTCAGTTAGTGGACTGACAAAAGCATATTGTCAGTTATAATGAAATATCGATCCATATACACATAGCAAAATATAATAGCTTTTCAAAAACAATACACACATCATGTGGATACATATCAGTGTCTTTGATCATAGTTGCCTGCGCTCTATCTCCCATGTGACAAGTGGTATAGTGAGGTGGGCAATATTCAGGTTAGGCGTCGAGTTCTAGGTAGGTGGGGGGAAATCAATCGACGAGGCTGTGAAATTACATCGACTGAGATGGTTAGGACATGTGTTACGTATGCCTAGTCATCGCCTTCCTCGACGGGGAGTATTAGCTGATATAGGGTCAGGCTGAAAAAGAACTAGCGGTGGTCAAACCAAAACATGGCCTCATCAGTGAATGAAATCCACAACAGTTAGTTTAAGCCACGTAAGAAGATGTAGACTTCCTGGTTGGGTCCTCGGGACGGTAAAAACCAATGGTTGAAAACAGTTGGTGATATGGCTCAAAATCGTTCTCAATGGCTGGCACAAATGCATCCACTCCTTGTGACTTGTGATTTCCAATGAAACTGTTTTGTTCTTCATTATTACTATTCTTTTTTCTCACACCTCTGTTTACTGTCTCTATTATGCATTTCTTCTAGTTTCTTCTCTTGGTTTGTGTGCTACAAGAAGGGCGTGTGGCGACTTGAACTGCTGCACACATGTGCAATGTTCTATGTCGGAAACAGAGACGGACAGACAGATGAATAATCGGACAGCAACTAGAGTGGGATAATGAAGATTAGTAAGTCTTAAATAGGGTTACGTAACATGAAAAATATCCAGGAAAACAGGATGGAGACAAGTATCCAAAATAAATTATGTAGTAGGTAAAAAGAGGTAAACAGAGAGTCAGTTAAGAACACGATGTTACCACAATGTCATACGAAAAATTCACAAAATAGTATTAATAACAAAATAGTTGAACTTGGAGTTATACCCAAGGAGTAGAAAGAGAGGAGTTTCTTCTGTGTACATAAAATACAGGGTTTTCCATCCGAATCTCTAAGGCCTCCTCAGCAATGCAAAGTATACAGAAGCTTATCGTTTTCGAGAAGTTCATTTTGACTTCATAGATGAATTTGAATGAATTCTCCCTACATATTGAATGTTCAGTTATAGTACTCCGTATTGATCCACTGTTACCTTTTCGTGGACAAGTGAGGTAATGTTCTTTAACTCTTTTAGATAAAACAGGCATCGAACAACTTATACGTCTCACTTTACATGGACAGTTAAATTCGTATATACACATGGAAGTAGTCAAATGTGACAGTTTATCTTAAGACTGAAGGAATTCATCGAAAAGAGACTCTTCGCTGAACTTTTTGTCCTCTTATGTTTACAGTTGTTAAGAAATCGGTCACATTAATCAATTGCCAGCTCCATCAAAATAAAAATTTTATCCATAATGGAGCTCTATGTAGACACAATAAACAAACTATAAGTTGTGTGCATTACACATCCAAAGTGCTTTCACACTAATTTTGCTTGATTGACTGTTTTCAACGTAGCACAGATGTGCAACAGTTCGAGTTGCCATACTTCACTCAGCACACAAAGTAGGAGAAGAGAGTACAGAAAGATTCAAAAGAGAGATAATAATCAGAAATATGAGACAAAAATAATAGTAATATCGAAAAACAATGTAGTTTTGTTGGATTTAACAAGTTACAAAGAGTGAATGCATCTGCGCCATCGAAAACAAAAATTTTTAGTCATATCACCAATTGTCTCCAGTCTTCATTGGTTCTTACAAACCCTAAAACTCCAACCAGTCAGAGAGCCAGTCTACATCTCACTCGTACAAAGAAAATCGCCTTAGCATATATAAAGGATATCTCAGAAATCACTACAAGACTCTTCAAACCTTTAGGAATTGACATCGTACACAAACCAACAAAGTCACCTCACTCACTTCTATGTCAACCAAAAGACTCAACAGCGAAAGAAGATAAAACCAACATCATCTACAAAATAAATTGTAACAACTGCGGAAAACACTACATTGGCCACAGTGGACATCCCCTTCGTCTTCGTATCCACGAACATAAGTTAGCCGTCAAACGATATGATATCCACTCCCTCGCTCGTATCACTAGATGAAGACAACCACGGACATCAGTTCGACTGAGACAACCAGCGTTCAAACATTAAACAGAGGAGACAACAAGAATGCTAGAGAATTTTTAGAAGCCCGCCTGGTATTCTAGTGAATCATCAATCAATAGACACATCGAGATAGACAAAGTTTATCAACCAATAAGAAAGAAACCTCACACACAAAGGGTCAAAGTTCAAGTCAAAGAAACAATCAGTTCCAATACAAGTAACCTAGAAGGTATGAAAACACACAAAAACAACCAATCACGTTCAAGCTGGTCACCAGGAGAAATGATCAAGAAACTCGTGGAGAAATCTAAAAGCTTACTTCAATTCAAATTGAAGTATGCGCTGAAGATGTCGCCTAGTAGGGCGATGAAAGCTTCCCAAATTAACCATCCAGCTCAGAAAACACAATCACATCAAAAGTCTACCTCTCCCTATGTGACTGGCTTAAACTAACTGTTGTAGATTTCATTGACTGTTTTGATTTGACCACCACTAGCTATCTCTCTTCCAACCTTATCGATCCTATGTCAATCAGCTAGCATTTACCGTCGAGGAAGGCGATTGATGGTTAGGGATGCACGCCTAACACATGTCCTAACCATCTCAATCGATGTAACTTCACAGCCTCGTCTATTGATTTCCCCTATTTACCTAGCACTCGACGCCTAACCTCAATATTGCTCATCTTGTTATACCACTTGACACTGGGAATGGAGTGCAGATACCCATAATCAAAGATAGCCAGCCAAACTTTTCATGGGTCGCACACTCAATGACCAGGTTTCATTCACAACCATGAAAGAGGGCAGAGCAGACTGCTGAGCAGTTCACACGCCTTCTGGTCAACAGCCAGCCGGATACCACGTCAACGCCAGAGATGGTTTAAGTTGGCGTATGCTAAACGAGCCTTCGGTATCCGTGCTGAGATGTCGTCACCGATCAACCTCCTGGTGTTGGCTGATGCAACTTCCCTAATAAATGAAGCGGTCAACACGTTCTACCACTTCACCCTCTATTTCTAAGCTAGAATTCATTGTAGTCCAGTCCTGTACCATCATCTTTCATTTGACAAGGGATGGAATCGCACGCGAAACATTCGAAAACTGTTGCCCAAGGTGTTCAGAATACTCTGCATTTTGTCAGCGTCTTCACCTACAAGGACTATATCATCTGCATATTCTAAGTCAACGAGATTATTCCCTGGTAACAAGTCAATCCCTGAGTCTCTGAAGTGAGTTAGGGTCAAGTCCATTAGTACATCTATGATGAAATTGAATAGAAATAGGGATAGTGAGCATCCCTGACATACACCACTAGTTGTCACCACTTCAGATGACAACTCGCCGTAAGCTCCCACCTGGCTGGTTGCATGAGTACGAGTAGAGTGCCTCAATCAGTGCAATGTATTTTCTCGTCATTCCCTTTACAGCCAAGCATCGCCAGAGAACCTCTCGGTCGACAGAATCGAATGCCGCTTCCCGGTCACGGAGTATGACGACTGTTGGACGCCATCAAGTGTGCCTATGTTTTAAAATCTGTTGAAGAGTGAAGATGTGATCTTCCTGGTCTAAAGCCTACCTGGTTCTCTCTCGTATTTGCTTAGTATTCGTTTCCCATAAACAGGACACAAAGAGATTATAACGTTCAAGCAAGTGACTATTATTCTCATCTATACCACATATTAGTCTTAGTCACTCTCACTCAATCTTATGACGTCTTGGATTCCTCCTTGAAATACACCCATAAATTAATCAATCAATATGTTCGAAAACATTCCTTTCTTAGATGTCTTAATCAAGAAAACAAAAACACAGGAAATCTGGAAACACAAGTATACAGAATACCAACACACACACACAGATCAAATGCTCAACTATAATAGCAATAACCCAATGACTATGTGCAGACATTGTTTAAAAGAGTTCAAACACACTGTAGCAATCCAGTGCTGAAGAGAATAGAGGAGAGAAACACCTATTAGGTGTCTTCAAGAGGAATGATGAGTACTCATGCAATTT